TGCCGCCATTTAATCATATTCAACACTCAACACTCAACAGAGGGTTAAATTTTAAATTTTTGCACATTTAAAGCATGTGCTCAAATCAAAATACAGCACCTAAGCATTGATGAATAAATATAATAAGAAGTGTCCTTTACATTTGATATTCATTAGGTGACAAACATTAATTATAATAATAAACATAGCTTGAAAACAGCTCAGCTAATCAGTACACTGACAACAGAAAACATTATTCACCATTTGGTTTGTACTCTTGATAATATATCAGATCATTGTATTATTACATAATGTTGCATAATCCTATTCATGTCCAGCATTCATTGTATAACATTATGTAAGAAACAATATCATGAGAAACAACCCAACACTGAATTCCATGATCAGATAAGCACCACAAACCTAGCTTTGATAAGTTACCTATAGGCATAGCACTAGTCTTATTGGTATCATAATATTATTTTATCAAAACCTATAGATATAAAGCCTATAGAAACCACTCTGGCATTACATCATGTTAAAACTTAAGCTGAAAAATAAAATCTAGTTTATAAGCAGCACTAATAGATTAACATGTGCAGCTATAGCTCAATCTTGAGGTTCTTATTGTACATTTATCAACATCCAGGGGGCAAGTTAAAAGCATCTGGAGGAAGCTCAGTAGTGACATTAGCATACCTATAAGTTATAGAAAATGACACTGCGTCTTCGTTTCATTCAATAGCTTACTGTACAATTACGTCTTCAGGAGGCATGAGAGTAGCAATAGAAGTTGTGATTGGAATGCATTCGGTACCCTCCTGCCCCAGTGGATGATAGGTGTAGTAGGAAAAGCCATTCTCTTCAAAAGTGTAGTGAGCAACTGTTACTCCTAGCCCAGGTAACTTGGCACCAAGTGTTTCCACTGGTCCATCAAAGTGAGCTCCTGTTGGGACACCAAATAATGGGAACTCTCCTTCCAGTGTTTCATTCCTGCAGGTGAAATTCAGAGGAGAGAATACATACCGGATCCTCTAAAAATTGTTAATTCATTGTAACTGAACAACAAAGAACTATACCTTCTCGTAGTCTTCCAATACTGTTGTTAACGGTTTAGCATTTTTACTTGCATAAGATCTCATGTCAGTGATTTTTACCTTCTGCTGAGACCTGTCATAGCTAGCAGAGGATATTAT